TCTTCAATATCTTCATTAACGACTTAGATGAGGGAATAGAATGGGAACTTACCAAATTTGCAGATGATACTAAGCTGGCAGGAATAGCTAACACCCAAGAAGATAGGCTCAAGATCCAGATGGATCTTGACAGACTAGAACACTGGGCCATATCTAAAAAAATGAAATTCAATGTAGAGAAAAGTAAAGTCCTGGAGAAGGCGGAGCCACGTCACTGCGATACAGCTGCAATCTTGGGGCTCTGAGATTGCAGCTGATATCTTCGCCCCTGGTCGGTCCTAATGGACCTAAACCGTCCCGTAGAGACAGTGATAGTAAGGGGCGCGTTCTGCTGATCCCAGGGACATCGCAAAGTCCCTGGCTGATCCAGAAGAAGCCCTTTTACCATCGGCGGAGAGGCAGCCTTTAAGCTGCTGAAGCTGTGACAGCTCCGGAAGGAAGAGGCTGAAAGAGAGTGCATCGGCTGGTGAGAATTTTTTTTTCTCGGGGACTCAAGGACACTCTAAAATGAGAAGAATCCTGTAAGACTTTGGACAAAAACTGATGAAACTGATTTAGCGGCGATTTCTTAAAGAGAATGTCAAATTGAGGCTTGGCTTTTTACTTTTACTTTTGCTTTCATTGAACTTCCATTGTGATCTAGTAACTGTAACTAGACTGGTTTTTCCTTTTATATTCACCTAATTTTTCTTTCTTTTTTCCCCCTTTTGACTGTTAATAGTTTTTTTTTAGAATAGAGGCTCCCTTTAGTAATTTTTTTTTCTTAAATACATATATATACATGTATATTTCCCTTTTTTTTATTAGGCTTTTTTGGGAAGGAAGGGGGAGTGGATTAAAGAAACTTTGTAACACTGCCAACTAGAGGCTTGAAGATACTTTATTGGAAGTTGAAAGAGCTGTGAAGGAATCCTTTCTCAAGGACACTGGAACTTGATTAGATAGAGGGAAGAAGAAAAGTAAAGTCCTACACTTAGACAAGAAAAACCAAAAGTACACATATAGACTGGGTGAAACCAGGCTCAATAGCAGTAACTGTGAGAGGGATCTTGGAGTCTTAGTGGACAACCAGCTAAATATGAGCCAGCAGTGTGCAGCAGCAGCCAAAAAAGCTAATGCAATCCTAAATTGCGTTAACAGAGGGATACAGTCAAAATCAAGGGAAGTACTAATGCTACTCTATAAAGCCTTAGTAAGACCACACCTAGAGTACTGCAACCAGTTTTGGTCACCACATTATAAAAAAGATGTTGAGACTCTAGAAAAAGTACAGAGAAGAGCAACCAGGATGATTAGGAGACCGGAGGCTAAAACATACAATGAACGATTGCAGGAACTGGGCTTGGCTAGTCTAGTAAAGAGAAGGACCAGGGGAGACATGATAGCAGTCTTCCAATATTTGAGGGGCTGCCACAGGGAGGAAGGGGTCAAGCTATTTTCTAAAGTGCCTGTAGGCCAGACAAGAAATAATGGATGGAAACTGAACAAGGAGAGATTTAACCTGGAAACAAGGAGAAACTTTCTGACAGTGAGAACAATCAACCAATGGAATAGCTTGCCCTCAGAAGTTGTGGGAGTGCCATCACTTGAGACTTTCAAGAAGAGATTGGATTGCCATTTGTCAGAAATGGTGTAGAATCTCCTGCTTGGGCAGGGAGTTGGACCAGATGACGTACAAGGTCCCTTCCAACTCTGATTATCTTTATCTGTATCTGTATCCAATCAGTTGTCCTATTAGTTGGACAACCTAACTCGTAGTTAACTACCAATCTGGTAGTTAAGCAAGCTGAACTCACCAACATTTACCCAATCCCACATCACTCCTCATTAGGGAGAATGAAGGTTATTTTTCAATCAGAGATATCACTTGGTAGAAGAGAAAAAGGATTGATCAATCACTTTAACTTGCCTCAAACTAAAACAGCAGAGGCAGGCCTGGTTGTTGGCTTCATTACTGTGACAAGGTAACATGTGACAATCAGGGCAAAGGACTTTCCGCTTTCTTCACATTTCTGACTGATGTGAAACACTTTAAGATGGCTATCTTGCTGTGTTTTCAGGGGACTGTTTAGAAATTTTCATCTACACAGCTTGTTTTAAGCAGTTCATTATCAATCTCACATTCCCTGGCTCAAAATGGAAAATATCTTGCTATATTTCAATGACTGAAAGTTAATAGTATTGATCAAAGTGGAGAATTTGTTAATAATATAACATCCAACTATTAATAGATGATTCACTTCCTGTTAACAGGTAGTCAGATCTGTAATCTAAAAAGATGTTACCGTACAGATTAAAAAAAAAAATCTTTGTCATTATTTATACTGAATTAAAATGCTACCTACCAATCCTTGAACCAGCAGAAGATTGGTGTAAAAATTGCTATAGTGGTCCTTATGATTCTCTTTTATTTATGGTATATTAAGGAGAGGAATTGGTAGATTCCTCCAACTTTATTTCATTCCATTCCCATCAACATCACCAACCAGTAAGAAAAAATTCACCAATCACTCTTGTTAACGTGGGATGGAGAGGAAAGGAAATTAGTTTTGACAGGTGATTAAGCTGGCCTTGAGCAAGTGTTGCATGAGGATGTGTTCAAAAACATCTGAAATCAGTTGATATGCTCCTTTTTGACATGGGTTCAGCACTGACCCAGAAGAACTCTAAATCTATGATCAAAAGAAACCCTGAAAAACTCACCAAGTAGTAAAAGCCATTTGGCTCTCTTCTGCTTAATTATGCAGCCCCACTCTTGTCTTTTCTGATCCAGTTTTTTGAACTTTTTGGCTCAGGGACTAGGCAGGACTTAAATATATTCATGGCTGTATTGGAATTCCATGTCACCCCGACTGTGCTGGTTAATGACCACAATAAAGTCTGTCGTTGTTTAGCTTCATTTCTGAAATCAGTCCTTTCCCAATCTCCATGGTGGAAATAGCACCGTTAATCACAAACACCGTTCCTGAACAGGATGTTTGAAGGAAAATCAAGCAAACCATGAATTCACAAGTAAATAACCTGATTCTAGTCCTGTTTAAGGGACTACCTTTGCCTTTCTTTTGACTTTCCTATTCTGATATCCACCTTCTGTCATCATTATGCCATACTGACTGCAGCAAGATTTTTTTTCTTAAAGTTCCGAAGCTGCTCCGTGGAAAAATAATTATTGAAAGCACGTTAATGAAACAGGCAAATAATAATTTTCAGAAGCAAATAAGATATGTAGGACAAAGTGGAACAATTTCCTTTTATTCTATCATCTGAGATATTTTAACTTCTGCGGAGCCTGTCATCTTTGCTCTCCCTCAAGTCATTTTCCAAAATCACATTTCTTTCCATTGTAAATACAATTTCATAAGAAAAAAATGGGACCCTTAAACAGTGCAATTAAATAACTATTGTGATGATCAACTACAGCTCTTGTCAAATTCTTCCAGTTTGAAATATGTCAAAAATTCCTATCATTAGCACAGCTGTTACCTTGTACACTGGAAAGAATTAGATAAGCTCAGTTTTGGGCTATCATTAAAACATGTCAGAATACTTCTAGATAGAATCCAGTATCAAAGGAGGATTTTCCACCAGATTGGCTTTATATATGCATAAAGACAAAGATAGTGCTATTATCTTGCTGTGCATGTCAAAGACTGAATTCAGAAAGTCTAACATTGCGAGAGTCTCCTAGTCCTATTCAATTAATCACCACATTAATCAAATAAGATCTGCATAATCTGTTATTGAAGCTGGAATAGGGAACTCCAATCTTGAAAATTAGGACCAACAAAATTTATTTACTTTTTTGGAATGGAAACATGTATTCTGTTAATTTCTCCTCTTATCAGCTGCGGTTGATGGTCATCTAGAATTACACTAGACGATTTAAATTTAATACAAAGATGAAGAGAATTTGCTCTACCAGTACATCCAAATACAAGCCTAAAAGAGATGCCTCAACAGTGGCCAAAAAAAGAGAGAATTTTCTAAAGCAATCCTCTCCAATCTGATTGCCAAAGTTCCCATAGTTCCAGCAACATGCCCAAAACTCTTAACATGAAGATAGAAGGTGACAGTTTTGATGCATGTGAAGGGACAACTAAATTAATAAAGGAATATACTCCATAGGTTCTCACTGATGGCCATTTTCTCTTTTTAGTGCTTGGGGGGCTTAGTAACACAATGATGATCTAAAGCCAATGCAGAATACCTATTAATTATTTTTATGACCATTATCCTAAGATGTGAACTATACTAAAAGGTGCGTGTGTGTTTGTGTGTAAGAGTTTGTGAAGGAAGCACTATCTAACTAATCTAGCTCTACACAGAGATGTAGATACTTCATATCATCATCCTAAAAGAGATCCTCCAATGGGATATGAAGGAGAACAATATCCCCCTTGCTCCAAACTCTGAGCCGAAGCAGCAGAGGAACTACCACCTTTGGCAGGCTGCTGGTTAAGCACTGCTAGAGGATTAAGATTGGGCATGCGGGGAAGTGTTTTCCTTACAGTGGTTCTCTGGGGCTTCATTTCCCTTTAAATCATCACAATGAGAATCAATAAATATGTACATTTTATAAAAATAGGCTCATTAAAAAAAATCAAATTCTTGTTAAAAACTAACATTTCTTATTATGCTCTTGACAGAATAACCCTTTAGATGGACTCATACAGTCTTCAGGCCCTGATTCAGGACAGCAAGGAAGTCCCATCGAAACCCAGAACGGCTCCAGGATTCTTCTTATCATGTATGAGCTTTAACAGGGTCTTACTCCTGAGGCCTTCATAAATCACTGGAAAAGGGATTGAAGAGTCAGGAAGGAATTTTATGAAGCCATCCAAATGACACGAAGGCACAATTACTTTCAACAGTCTTCAACATTCACTAAATTCTTCTTTCAAGCTGTGACTCCTCAGGCTGCTCTACTGAAGTCAAAATGTCCTTTAAAGTGACCAGGAGTGAATAAGGTAAAGGTGGTAAAGTGACCAGGAGCCTATATAGGGTCCTTGATGTCTGCATATCTGGTAGAAAAAAAAATAACTGAAGATGATTATCGAGAAAAGGAGTCATTTAAATAGGAAAAAGGGGATTTTGGTTTCAGCTATTCACTTCTCTTGATAATGCCCATCAAATCACTGGGCCTGGGGCCCAAAGGAACTCAACCCCCTCAGTGCAGCTCTTTAGGCTTTCAAGTCCAGGGTGGTATGAAAAATGTGGGCTCTTCTAAAAAGTTCTTCATTTGTCCATTAGGACATGACGTAGACCTCCATTAAGCTAGCAACAGCATGCATCCGGTAGAAGATGCCGAAGGGTAGACAGATGTCCACAATAGCAGCCCACATGGGGTAACCATAGAATTCAAGCTCTGTGGTATTATCAAATTGCGGCCGGGCTCCAAATGCAGGCATAATCCAGAGCTGTTTGGGAAAGAGACAAAGATAATAGCACCGTCAGCAAGTAAAAACAAAGAAGAATGAGACTAACGAGGCACGGTTCTTGATGCAGAAGATACCTTGATGCAAGATTGAACACAGGACAGCCTGATTTTAAGAGCACCAGAAACTATGACATTTAAGCATAAACATTTAACTAACATGCCTCTGCATCACCGAATTCTTTAAGGCAATGACCCTGATCTAAAGAAACGTGGAGTACCCTAGAACAGGGTTTCTCAACCTTGGCAGCTTTAAGATGTATGGACTGCTGGTTCCGGAATTCTGGGAACTGAATTCGTGAGCAACCTTGGGTGGCTCAGAATAACAGCAAGATTGAGAAGCACTGCCCTAGAATTTTGTTAATTTTGATTTACCCCAAGTATCTATGCCTAACAGACAAGAGCCATAAATCTTCTTGTGCGGTGCCACAATCTGTTCTCCCTCCTTCATGCCAGTTTCCCAGTATTTTTCACGTGTGTTAGGTGCATATTTCCAGTTCCTTTTCCATCCCCAGAAAAGGTGTTACAATCCTGTCAGGATAAAAATGAGGGGTGATCCATTATAACGTGTCTTGAGCTCTCTAGAGAAAAGGTGGAATACTACCGCACAAAATGTAAAAATCATTAATTTATTCAAACTACTTTGGTGCAGTCAAATATGTATGAAAAGCAGCAAGAATTGCAAGGCAATTTTCCACAAGACAAATTCACCTTTCCCCTTCCTTTGCAATGTGTGCCGAATAACACACCTAACTGTTGTTTATTACTCAGTCCTGCCTTTCCTCTTGCTGCTTCTGCGGCTCTTTTTATTTTAAAAAGGTGCCGCATTTATATTTATTTGTACAGCTTTGAAATGGTTGAAAAACAGCTTGAGAAGGAGAGGGAGATGGCTTTGCACTTACTCTGCTTTCCACCAACACTCAGAGAACAAGTTTCTCTTAAAATAAACTCTGGGAAACTGAACACCATCAAACAGAATCTAGAGAATATCAATTTACTATAACATATCGGTCAAGTTATTCACAACTGCTACTCTCTTTAAAATGCTACTTTTAAGAAGTCCAGGAAGAAATGGATGGCTCAGTTGATCCTTGGCCTTTTTTTGGACATAGGCATCACCTAACACATGTTATGTTTCATACTTCTCTTCCTCTTTGTTATCTGCCAGTGATGTGAAGCATAGTAAAAAAATGGATTCCAAGAGGAAAAAAAAGAGACCTCAAGTAGCAATAGCAGCTCCATGTCTTTTGTATTTTCTAATTTGTTTTTCTTCAGTCTAGTCCTCCTTTTGCTTTTTTACACTACTACCCCCAACATCCCTAACTAGCTTGGCTGCAACTCTTGGGCATGTTTGCTAGGAATTGGACGTGTGTATGTTTGATGAAGTTATAGTTGAGACAATTCAACAAGATCAGCAAAACTTCATATTTTGATGTAAAGGTATTTTGGTTAAATAACAGAAGCTAGCTCTAGCTTTCGCTATTTGATAAGAACAAAGGAATCCTACTTATTTACATACTTAACTACTGACGACTAATCCAATTTTGGCTCAAATAAAACCATCCTACTTACAATTACATTACACAGGAGCAGGAATAATGAGCTTTCTTTTAAGAATCTCCTCCGCCAGCTCACTTTCTTGGAGATACTGATGGACCGTGTTACTTCATGAGGAGCCTGGATAGCTAGTCCTGGAGATACTGGTGATAAAGCGTTTCCATTTTCAGGGACGCGAAGCGATACAGCATTCAAGTTGACAAAAGTGAGGCCATAAATGTCCTTCTCCTGATGGTCCACTTTGCTTTCCCTTTTTAAGGGCTGTCGATGGAGGCCTTCAATTATGAAAATGTTCTGGAAAGTGTGTTGGGCAATCATCAGCAAGGAATAGGTCAAGTTGAGGGCATTGATAGTATCCCTTGGTGAACTGGCCACAGTGGCCACAATAGAATAATAGGAAATGGCATATTGCCCTAAGGCTGCACCCATTAATAAGGCCACGTCAAGCGTTCTAGTTGGATTCTTCTCACGGTCCATGTCTCTCTTGTCAAATCTGTAAACAATGGAGCCACCCACAGAGATGAGGGACATCAGGCTCAGGCAGACAATATTGAAAGTGTAGTACATGGTGAGCACCTGATTCTTCACTTTAGCCTTGTTTTTCGAATTGATCTGGATTTCATACACGATCAGGATTGCTATGCCAGACGCCATGATCAAGAGTCCCATTATGAAACCTAAAAAGTAAGTCCTCTTGAAAAGCTTAAACTTGAGGTGATGGATATGGTGGGAATGGTGGTCCATGATGCGGCCAACGTTCTTCCACATTACATAGATCATGGCAGAAGCAAAAAGGCTGTACTCGATATTGAAAGGATACAGCCAAAAATAACCATTTTTGAAGATTTGGCAGACATTACTTTTGCAGCCACAGTTGTCAGAGGTGTCTTCTTTTAGTTCAGCTGCAGAGAGAGAAGGAAAAGCTGGTCAAGACTAGCTCAGGAAGTTTTTCTTTTTCTTTTTTTACTTTTGATTGACATTGATCAAAAAGTTTGAATGGTATTGAAATAAGAGGTTTACTCTCAGAGCCAACTCTATGATCTTTCAAAACTCAATGGAAGGAGATTTTTAAATTACCTTTTAATACCTCCTATCCTTCAAGGAGGATTAACCTGACCTATGTTTCTTCCCATATTATTCTTGTGATATGCATTATGCTCACAACTATATCTTTTACCAAAACAGAGGTTATCTATCTGCCTGATTCAATTCAGTCATAAAGAGATATCCTGCATTCTTTTTCTTTAATAGATCAAGGAGGAATGGACCTGGAAATAGATCTTTTCTACCCCATCAATAATCTGTATGATCCACACATTCCCCCACCTCTCTTCAGAACAACATTTTTTTTTAAGAAAGTGGTTTTACAGTTTTAGTACAGTAATGTAGATTGTCTGGAGACTTCAAGTGTATTTGGACCAGCTGATTATATTTTATTAGTTTATAATATTTATCTTATTCTGTTACGAATTTATTGACATGTTAGCCATCCACTCTGGAGCCAAATGGCTGCACGAGTGATAGGCAAGTGAGAATGTGCATGCGCAAGCAAGGCTCCACTTGCATAAGTGGTGGGTGAGTGGTGAGCAGCGTGCGAAATTCCATTGTGCTCATATGCTGTGTGGATGGAGCTGTGGATGGAGTTGTACACATGTGCTCCTGCCACTCACATGCCGGGCCTGGTTGACAAGGTGGAAAGGTTGTGGAGCTCTGCCTTAAAGTAATGCCCTCTAGGTTCATTTGATCATATTTCTTATGTTTCCCAGTCAACTTACCCATCCTGTGTGACATATTTACATCTGGTTTTTTTGATTCAGCCTTATGCACTGATTCATCTGTTACAGCTGACATCCACACTGCTAGATTGGTGGTTAAGATGAGCATCAGTCCACATCTATCATAGAAGAATAGAGAATTTTGGTTTAATGAATAAGCTCTGTTCATTCCAAACACCCAAACTCACCTCCAGAGACAGAGCAAATAAACAGTAGTGATCAACTTTAACTGAAATACTTTAAGGATAAGAGTAATTTAATTATGGTACATTCCAAAATGAGTCTAACTCTTCTGCTTGCAGATATTTCTCATACAGCTTTTTCCTTTTGATAGAAATTCTTTTCAGTTGGCTAATATAGCATCCTTAGGGCCTCTGTGCACCATGACAGATTACAGAGTAGCAATTGCCAAGTGATTGTTCATTGTTGTAAACGAACGTAGTAGACTAAACTATAAAGTAGGTTTGATATAATTTTAAAAACCCATCTTAAAACTATTTCACTACCAGAAATGAAAAGGAAAATCCTAGCTGTGTTATTATTTATTATTATTTATTTATTAAAATTATTTGCTGCCCATCCTGTTTTGAAATGACTATCCCATGGATTAAGGATTTGGGGGCTCTCAAATTTGGTAAACTTGGCTCTCCAAGTTTGTCCACTTTTACTCTAAAGCAAGAAAATGTCAGCTCTGAAGCCATTTTGGGCAGAAGCCATTTTGGAAGCATCTTCAGGGCTGCCACCGCAAAACTCATTGGAGCTGTGGGAACATAAGGGAGGAGGTAGAGATAGCTAGGGATGTGTAGCCAAAACAACATTCTTTCCAGTGGGAGCCAAGGATATTTTGCCAGGTGTTGGGAGAGGCATGGACCAATGCAAGACAGGACGGAGGATGTTGTTATGTCTGGTAGATCGGTTGGGTCGAAGGGAACGGGTGGCGGGGTGCTGCTGGCCATCTTGCTGGTCGTTTCGCACTGTTTGCCATGTGCTGGGTGGTTCTTCGCTTCACTATCCCACCCTCGTCGCCAGTGTTATGTCTGGTAGATCGGTTCTGGGTAGATCGGGTCGCATTGAGAGGCGAGACTCCAAAGTGTACATTCAGCTCTTTATTGCATGTATAGAACAGTTCAAGACCTGTGAGCTGCTTGGCTTTATTCAGCCGGCCGGCAGCTCGGTGGCCAATGGCAGCGCTTTGTATCTCCCGCGATCGGCTCGGCCAATCGCAGTAGACTCTTAGCACACCAATCACAGGAGTTCAGTTAGTCAATCACATAGCGGTCCATGTGGACCAATCAGAATGTGATGTTTCAAGAATGTTAATATAGAACAGATGTGACCTGGTTGGACCATGTGACAGACGTGTGACCTTGGGAGGGGGAAAGAACTTCGGAGTTTGATTTGGGTGAGGAAAACCTCAGGTCCTTCAGAGTTGGGCTTTCCCCAGATGTGCCAATATGACATATGCCTAATAAATCTATACTTTTAGGAATATGCCTGCCTTGGCGTCTTGATTCCATTAAGAGTGTTTGCTGGAACCCTGACAAAAATACTCTATTCAGAATTATCACTTGCTTCGATATTTAATCTTTTTACATCATACTACCCAATGTAAAAAGCTTCAGAAAAGTGAATAAAGACAAGTCCTCCAGAAATCATTCCCAGATCCAACATGACCCTTGGAAAAGGTCTTTGACCTTCATTGTTGGATACTAATATTATTACAAATAATGCACTGGGATTCTGTCTGCCCAAACCCATCCTATTTTTCATTCAGTCAGTGACACCTGACTGAAAGACATTTTATTGAATGATCTTGATACTCACCTGGTAAGATCCAAATGTACATGAACACAGTCTTTGGCAGAGACCCACAGAAAATAAGTCTAGAAAGAAAGAAATGCAACTGTAAATTTGCTTCCTATAGCATCTTGTTGTCCTGGGTATGAGCAGGGTAGAGTTTCCTAGACTTATTGGTACACATTTTGCAAGATTTTGCTGTTCAAGTTCTAAAACACTTATTGCTACTAATTACAACATGCATTACAGCCGTTTTGATATATTTCAAGATCTGTTACATTTTAGTTAGCTCCCACAATGCACAAACAGATTATAGATAATTTAATGTTGGGAAGCACCCAGCTTGGCAGGGGAGAGGGATTAAGCATGGAGCTAGCCTGAAGTCACTGTGCAACTGCAAAAGGGTTGTGACTGAAGCCCTCCCACCCTCCGAGATCCTTCAAGCCTTATCTAATTGTTCCCAGGAACAGGCTGCCAGACTGGGTAGATTTCTATTATATACCGAATCTAATAAAGTAGCTAGCTTAAATCCTGCACATATGGGTCTAGTTATTTGTGCCTGACATTTAATTATATTTGAAATACTGGTGCACACAAACCAACTGTTTTGCTATTCTTCTTCTAAGGAACAAAATATTACTGCAATTCAAGCTACCCTCTTAAACTGAACAGCAGCTTCCTGTCATTTAGATGATTAGAGCTTTATCTAGCTTTTATTTTCTCCCTTTTATATGTCCCCTCCCAAACCAATTGGCACTTGGTTGCATATAAATATGTTTAAATACATAAACTCACTTGGACAATTACAAACACAGCCTGTACAATTGGATACATGATTTTGATGACTGATAAGCACTCGTAGTAACTGAAGTAGCCTGTCTTGAATATATCCATGACCAGTGTGAGGATTCCAAATAAGACTAAGCCACCTGTTTTGGAAAACAAATATCATTATCTTCCCATAACAAATACACAATCCAAACTCTTTAATTTAGTTCTATGATCTCACAGCCATGACAAATCTTCCTCAGCCCAGGAAAGAAGACAAGGGATGTCCCAATTCTGTCAAAACCAGAGCCCTATTTTATTGCACTATCAAACTTGTAAAGCCGATTGATTAAACTATAAATCTTGCCTTGAGCAAGTGTAGTGTCCAACTTCAATGCTAGGGTTAAACCTTCTTTTCTACAAATAATGTTTAGGAGCAGCAGAAGTCTATCAAATCCTTAGGACTAATTTATTCCAGAAGTAGTAGTGGCACCATTTCCAAGTTTTCACTGAGCCCCAAGAGATTTAAGGTACACTTTTTATCATTTTGCTTGGACAGGATATCTGAGCTGCCCACTCACTTTTATAATTTTCAATCCACATTCTTCATATGCTTGTCCAGAATACCATACTTAATCATAACTTAGATACACACAATCAAGCTTGAACTAGATCCAAGACTTAGCTTAGGAGCTGCCTGAACATTAGTAAGCTCTAATTAGGGCCTAACTCTGCAGAGCTGTGATCAATTCAATTCACAGCTTCCCTCCCAGTACTCATTTACTCATTTTGAATGTTATAAATGTGATGGGCACTGAGATGTTTTTTTTAAACACAGATAGGACTGATGCCCTGATGAACCCAGCACTCCTCCAACAATGAAATATTGGCTGTGCTTTGCTTTACCTCTTCTCTTATCAAATCAACTGTATGCTTTTATCAGCATCTCTTTACCTCTTAGCCAGATAGGTCCTGCATGATTGTCTTTGTAAGGGATGGCAGCCTGGCGCTTGGAGGTACTGAAGATATAGAACAACATCCAAATGATGGCAATCAACATCACAACGGTGAGCATGAAAAAGGCATCATAATCATGCAGTTTGACGTTTTTGAATGCCCCACCACTGACAAGAGTGCATGCTAGTAGGATCAGGTTGATGGCTAGCAGGACAGAGAAAACACGCCCGCCTTTTTTCCAAACTTCTTTGGGGCTGTGCGGCAAAGAGATAGAGGAGAACCTATGTATATGTTGGCCAACAGGTGGTAAATGATCAGAACTAAAGCTGCTTTTGTCATCTTTCTGGCCGGAGCCCATGATGGAATCTTCACGTTTGATACCACTGTCTTTCCTCACAGACACGTTGGTCATGGTTTAACCGACACTAATATAGAGCTGCCAGCATAAAGGAAAACAGAGAAAGAGAGAACGTGAGAACACTTCATGACAAAATATATTCTTTTATACCAGAGTCCAGTTCCTTCAACTTTAGGCTAATGGTGATAAAAATGGTTAGATATTGGGTAGATGGAATGAAAAACTGAATTTCAAAATGTAAGTCTACAGTATTTTAAATATGACTTGAGCAGGATTTCTCAATAACATTTGGATAGAATTTCTTATATAACCCTTTCAATTTGAATGAAAGCCCATTTTGTTAATCATATCTGGTTATGATAATAGATGTAATGACTTACGGTATTTTGGTGAGGTTTCTTTTAAATATATATACATTTAAAAACCCTGCAAACATATATGTTTTCTTACCTGCTGAGTGGACATTCTCTCTTTAAATATATTTTACAAATCGATTTCCCTTTTGATACCCTATTTGTTGATCAACAATCTAGATTAATTTTTGAAATTGAGGTCTCCAGTTTTTGAATCCGATTCAAACCATATCATGATCCATCAGTGAGAAGATGGAACAAACTCTGAGCTTCCACAATCTCTTCCGCAGCTTGTAGACCAAGCCTGGATTATTTCTCAGCTGTTCAGTTGGGCTCATTATTAACACAGAACAAATCCACCAAGTGCTTAGGCAGCAAACTCCCTTAATTCTGGTCTGCAAGAATTGGGGCAAGATGTTTTGTACTGGACACTATGGCTCCCAGAAGAACAGAAATCACCACAGACAAAATGCCATATTGCAAACACTTCTTTACTCTGAATCAAAAGCAAAACTTCTCATCCTTGCATCGAGGAAAAATGAATTCCAATTCAAGCCAATAAGCTAGATAATAAGAGGTCCTTGGTGCTCTCTGAGCTTGTTGGCTTGAAGACATTTCATTATCCTAACTAGGTAACATCATCTGTACTAGCACTGATTATGTTACCTAGTTAGGGTAATGAAACGCCTACAAGTAAACAAGCTGAGAGAGCACTAAGGACCCCTCATTTCAACCCTGAGCTACAAATATTCCCCTTTAAAGGTAGATAATATCTTCCTCTACTCTGGAACCACTCAAACGTCTGAACCACTCATTTGCTCTTCTTACATCACCAGTCGATGCATGTCCATTCAGAAGTAAATCCTACTGCAGCCACATGGCTTACTAGTGCCAAATCACTATGTTTAAAATTAGGGCTGTATAAAACATGAGCCCCATGGGATGAGAGGGACACAAAATGAAAATAAAAAGTGTAAAAGTTAGACCCTTTACTAATATTAAGTTCAGCATCTATATAACTAGGCAGACAGAACAAGAACCATGGTTTTAGCCAAGCATTATTCCACCAACCTTTCTGCCTTCAAGTCGGCTTGTTGTTCTCACCACTTTTGCACAAGCTTCCTTTTTGCCCCAGTTCACAACAGCCCTGAAATTTATATTTGTCCGATGTCTTTTGATTTACACCATTATTGAGTTGACAGGACTGCTTCATAAATGTCTCAGAAAGGCTTATAGGACCCATTTTGTGCCTGAACTAGGTTTGGGGAGAAAAAGAACATGTAAGAGATATGGGGATCAAGGTTACTTGATATGAAAATGGGAAGAAATCATCATAAAAATCCTGCCAACAAAAGCAGAAGTGCAAAAATTATAAAAAGCCACATGGGAAATTGTTCTTAATTTAGAAACTACCTGTCAGTCCAAAAAAAAAAAGTCTCCCATGTGACACATCTGCATGCCATGTTCTTTAAAAGGCAGAAGTCCAAGGTAACAACAGGATCAACAGGAGTCAAATTTGGCTTAGTAGTATGTTTTTCCTTTAATGCCAAGTCCAGATTTGTTATTGCTTAATAAATGACCTATCTGATAGGCTGATTGATTTATATTGGCGTAAGGGAAGAGAAATTTAGTTAATTTAGAGCTGATACACTTTTGTGTCTTACTTTATCTGAACCCACTACAAAGCTGTGACCAATAAAGGATCTGTGTTCCACACGTTTATTTATCTACTTTTCGCATTTCTGAGCATACACATGAAACATCAATTATAGCTCCATGCAGATGTATGTGTAATGTTCCCATTCTTTTCTACTCTATCATCAATGCACTGACATGCTACTAGAGATTAGACTGCCTTTAATAACCCGTGTGCAAAGATGGCGGCCTGCCATGCATCTGTTGGAGATGAGTTCATGCCTGCTGTTCTAGCGGGGTGCCCAGTGTCAGACTGTCACCCGGATCCATTTTCTAAATGACTTCACAACGTTGGCCTGGCATATAATTAATCTTTTGCTGGGCAAAGAGTCAGTATAGTATAGTGGTTAAGGTGCATCAGAGTAGAAACCTGCCGACTCTGAGTTTTAGTCTTGCCTTAGACACCAAACCAACTGGGTGACTTTGGGCCAGTTCCTCTTTCTGAGGCCTAGAAATGAGGCAGTGGAAAAACACTTCTGGAAATTCTTGCCAAGAAAACTGTAGGGATTTGACCAGGAGTCAACACTGACTTGAAGGCCTGTACATGCACCTACTCCCGCACCGGCCAGCAGTGGGTACTCCATAAGGGATAAGAGTTTAAAGTCTAAAATGATTGTGCAATAATTGTATATCACTCTTTTCACGAATTCCCCTTAAAAGGGGAAAAAGAATGGAAGAATTGGTGAACAAGCCTGGGGAGGTTCCATGTAGAAGGAGATAATTTCTGAACATTTTCACTCTTTCCGCCAAAAATCTTTGGTGGCGCAGAGTAACTCTGGAATAAAACTTGAATCCTGAGCCTGGATGAGTCTAAGTATTCTGACGTACTGCACTTTAGATTTGGCAGGCCAAGGTTTCCGAAAACATATCCCCAAGCAGATATTCCCACCAGGATATTCCCAAAGGAGAAGTGTCTTCTGAGAGGGGCTAGCTAAAGCAAAGACGGGAATTTTTAGGACCCAGGGGAATCCGCAGCAAATAATATGCCTTCAATGTGAGGAGTTCCTGCCCTCTCCGGGCAGGGAATCTCAGGTATCTTGGCAACGGAGCTCCCTCCTCTCTGACAGCTGCTTTCCTAGAACTCTGTTGCCATCTGTGTGCTGTTCACCCTCCCAGTGACATGGGCAAGCTTTAAGGCTACACCATGAATGACCAGTACCACCGTGCAGCCAGAGATGGCTATCTGGATCTGCTGAAAGAAGCCACCAAGAAGGACTTAAATTCTCCTGATGAAGATGGCATGACCCCAACCCTGTGGGCTGCCTACCATGGCAACTTGGATGCCTTAAGGCTGATAGTTAGCAGAGGGTAAGTCTGATGTTTTGCACCGTTCTGTTTTTGTTTTCGTCCAGGCCTTGGGGGAAAGTTTTGTCCCTTCTTTCTGGATATCAAATCCACCGAACTTTGCAGGCCACTGAAGTGACAGCAGCTTTCATTTGTACCTGGTGGCAGGTGAGATGCCCTGAGTTCATTGTTGTTCAGGAAGGGCAGGGCTTCAGGATGTGCCCATCTATGAAGTTCTAGATGTATTGACAGTATGTGTCTCGAGACTCTTGGAAAGCAGAAAAGCTCTGACTTAATATCAGTTTCTTCGTTATTTCTCCTTCTCAACCCATCAAACAGCTGAATGTTTTGCTTACATTGGTCTAGAATGGTCTCCATAACACTCAATTTTTTTTTTTGCAATAAACTCCAGTCTTCCCTTGGGTTTTACTAAAAATTTGGACGAGGTACTCTTTTTTGCTGTTCATGGATTGGCTGAAGAGATGCATATCTTAACTGAAGGGAAGAAACTGTTCTGAGCCTTCATTTTCATTACAATCTGAAGAAATCTTTCATAAGCTGAAAGTCAAGGCTGGAAAGGATTTTAAACAACATCTATTCCAATTCCGTGCCCAATGCAGGACTCTGTTTAGCATCTTAAGCATCTCCTTTCTAACATCCATTGAAGTGGGCTGATTAGGATTGTCACAGAGTTGTGATCAAAGCCAGTTTGCATATACAGTGCATATCTGAAAGTATTCAGAACCTCTTCACTTTTGTCAATTTTGCTGCAGCCTTTCTACAGTTGTTGAAATTCATTTCTCTCTCTCTTTAATCTACACTCAGTACCCCATAATGATAAAGTGAAAATAGAATTTGAGAAATGTCTGTAAAACACCCGCACAGCATGATGCCTCACTGTTGGGATGATATTGGGCAGGTGACGAGTGATGCCTGTCATAACAGTCATAACATTTAGAATTGAGGCCTAGCAGTTCAATCTTGGTTTCGTCAGACCAAAGAATCTTATTCCACACAGTCTGAGAGTCCTTCAGGTGCTTTTTTGTTTTTTTTTCAAACTCCAAGTGGGCTTTCATGTGTTTTGCACTGAAGAATCATGTCCAATCTATTTAATTTACCACAGGTGTACTCCAATCAAGCTGTAAAAACATGTCAACAACAATCAAGAGAAATGGGAGGCACCTAAGCTAAATTTCAAGTGTTGCTGCAAAGGGTCTTGAATACTCATACCAATGTGATATTTCAGTTTTTTCTTTTTAATAAATTGAGACATTTCTAAAATTCTGTTTTCACTTTGTCATTATGGGGTACACTGAGTATAGATTAATGAGAAAAAATGAATTTCAACAACTATAGAATCAGGCTGCAGCATAATGAATTTGACAAAAGTGAAGGTCTAAATACTTTTTGAATGTATTGTATGCATTTATTTTCTTTGATATAATCAGTATTTATATTAACTATAGAAAGAGTAAAGAAGGGAGGAGAAAAATTCTGAGAAAGGTACAGAATTATTGGAGGCACTTCTTAGGTTGTTCTTCTTGAGGTAGGACCCAAAAGCTAAGCTTTACAAGAGGTAAAAGAACTGGGTTACTTATTATGGTATCGATAGTCCTCGAGTTATGGCCACTTTTTCAGCAACCGAATAAGGGTGATTTATGAACAGTCTGAAGTTATGGTCTTTGCAGCATCCCCATGATCATATGATTGTGATCTGGGTGCTTGGCACCTGGCTTGCAATTACAAATCAGAGCAAGTCA